TAATAAACTGAAAGACATCTGTGTTCATGGGCTAGAATAATTAATATTGTTAAAATGTCCCAACTACTCACAATGATACACAGATTCAATGTAATCCCTATCAAAATCTCAATGATTTTTAACAGGAATAGAAAAAAAATGCAAAAATTCATATGAAACCACAGAAGACCCCAAATAGCTAAAGAAATTTTGAGCAAAAAGAACAAAGCTAAATGTATCCCACTTCCTGATTTCAAAATACATCACAGAGCTATGGTAATCGCAACAGTATGAAACTGGCATAAAAACACATATATGGTCCAATGAAACAGAATAGAGAGCCCAGAAATAAATGAATAAATATATAGATGATCAACTGCCTTTCCAAGAGTGCTAAGGATACACAATGAGAAAAGATAGTCTCTTCAATAAATTGTACTGGGAAAACTGGATAACCACATTCAAAAGAACAAAATAGGCTGGGCGAGGTGGCTCACGCCTGTAATCCCAGCACTTTGAGAGATGGAGGGTGGATCACGAAGTCAGGAGTTCTAGACCAGCCTGGCCAAGATGGTAAAATCCTCTTTCTACTGAAAATACAAAAATTAGCCGAGTATGGTGGTAGGCACCTGTAATCCAAGCTACTTGAGAGGCTGAGGTAGGAGAATCATTTGAACCCAGGAGGCAGAAGCTGCAGTGGGCTGAGATTGTACCACTGCATTCTAGCCTGGGCAACAGAGCAAGAATCTGTCTTAAAAAAAAAAAAAAAAGAAAGAAAAGAAAAGAAAAGAAAGAAAAGAAAAAAAAGACAAACTAACTACAATATGACCAACCAATGCCCCTTCTGTAAATACACCCAAAGGTACTGAAATCTGTATCTCAAGGTGATATCTGCACTCCTATGTTCATTGCAACCTTGCAGCATTATTCACAATAGCCAAAACATGGAAGCAACTTAAAATTCTCTCAACTAATGAAAGGATAAAGATAATGTAGTAAATATTAATATATATAATGGACTATTATTCAGCCCTTAAAAATAAAGAAATCCTTCCATTTCTGACCATATAGATAGAGCTGGAGGACTTTATGCCTAGCAAAATAAACAAGACACAGAAAGAGAAATGGTGTATGACATCACTTATATGTGGAATCTAAAATAGTCAATTTATAGTAGCAGAGAGTAAGATGGGGGTTACCAGGGGCTGAAGGAAAGGAATAACGGGGAAGTGTAAGTCAAAGAATACAAAGCTTCCATTATGCAAAATGAGTAAGTCCTAGAAATCTACTGTATGACATAATGCCTATAGTTAATACTATACTTTCTTTAAATTCATTAAACAGTCCTACTTAAGATTATTGCCTTTTATGAGGTTGGGGGACAGTGTCTCACTCTATTGCCCAGGCTGGAGTGCAGTGACACCATCTCCACTCACTGGAACTTCAGCCTCCCGGGTTTAAGTGATTCTCCTGCCTCAGCCTCCCAAGTAGCTGAGATTATAGGTGCCCACCACCACATCCAACTAATTTTTGTATTTTTAGTAGAGATGGGGTTTTACCACATTGGCCAGCTTAGTCTCGAACTCCCAATCTCAGGTGATCCACTCACCTCAGCCTACCAAAATGCTGGGATTACAGGTGTGAGCCACTGTGCCCAGACTCATTAGTGCTTTAACTGTATGTTCAAAATAAAACATAACTCTAAACAACTACTGAACTCCAAACATATATATTCTGAAGTACTGTTTTTAGGAGAAAGTTTTTGGCTGTCTAGAAATTACTGTGAAATACATCAAAAAAATAAGAAGGTTTTATTGATAAATAAGTGGAGGAATATGTGACAAAGCAGGAATAGTAAAATGTTAATGGTAGAATCTAGGTAGTGAGTATACGAGTGTTCACTGTAAAATTCTTCTAATTTTTCTGTTTGTTTGAAGTGTTTCATAATAAAATATTGGGGGAAATTGCATGTCATGTCTGTTTCACAAAGAAAGACTTTCTATTTTCATACTAAATTTTTTATGGTTTTATGTCAAATTCTGCCTTACTGCTTTAACTTGAAGTATCCTGAAGTATATATCATGTGTTATATAGTTCATGTGTTATATAGTTGATGCATTATATAGTCAATACTTAGATAGTCCATGTATTAATCCAGCCAGATAGAATCTCTTCAAAAAGATCTATCTGACTGGGATGTAGATATTAGAGATGGACACACTTGACTAATTAAGCTAATCTTAGGAGATCAATAAGAGGCCATCTAATTAAATTACAAATCTTATCTTTGGCTATGCATGTCTAGATGTAAGACGTGACTGAGGAAAGAATCCTAAAATAAATCTCAAAGCATCAGGGCATAAACCTTCCAATTAACATAGCAGACTATTTATTATACAAAAAATAGTTCAAGCTAAACCCTTGAGGTTTGGAAAATCCATGTCAAAATTTCACATTTGATTGTTATTTTTTAACATTATAAAAAAGAAAATGGGAGAAAATAATTCATACATTTGTTCTTGCTAAAGTAGGAAAAACTTGTGAGTGACTTTGGAGGGGCCAGTAATCCCAACATTTATCATGGAATTGACTATGTTTGGAGAGAATCTCGTTTCTCTTCACTCTTGGGTAATGTCAGGTTTAATAAGTTTCCTTAATTTAAAGAGACCCGCAGGTCCAAAACCTGTGGCCAAAATAAATCAAGTAATAGGAAATTATAAATTGGAATTTGAAAAGTTAAAACGCAATCCATAAAATTAATTCCATACTTCTTCAAGGTGGTTCTCTTTGACATCAAGTTCACTATATTAGTAAGTCCAAGGAAGCCTGCTAGAAGAAAAAAATTATACAGTGGTAATATTTTTATTCTCTTGGCATAGTTTTTATCAAGCCCTACCAAAGAGTTAATTATTTTTTCTGTTCCTATAGCAAGGAACTAGGTTAAAAAAAAAAAAAAAGGTTCTATGTCCTTCAAAAGATATTGAATTTCAAAATAAGTGATTTCTTTCTAGATCTGTTTTTATCTGAATATTAACTTCAACTGCAGTTTTTTCTTTCTTTGTAAACCAACTTCTTACTATTTGAAGATCTTAAAATCTCAAACTATTTTTACAAGAAAAGACCACCACCCTTGTTCAAAGATTAATGCCCAGTTACCCAAAGTGCTAATGTGGCACATCTAAATAAGAAATAAAAACCCGACTAGGGCAGAATTCTGTAAAAATTGCTGCTTTTCTGTGTCTGCACCAGATGCCTAAATAGTTAGTTGGGGGATACAAAATCTAAATGTCTCTCTATAACAAAACCTGGAGATGTTCTTTATATAAATGACTTTTTTAAAGGATGTGGTGAAAATGCATGATATAGATCACATTATCAGAACTATGCAGAATTACCAAATATTATTTGTAACTGCACAAGAATTATGAAATATATATACAGATATCTTCAACTTCTGATGGTGTTATATCACAATAAACCTATCAGGAAAACACTGTAAGCCAAAAACGCAGTTAATACACCTAACCTACCAACCATAGCTTAGTCTAGCCTAACTTAAATGTGCTCAGAACACTTATATTAGTCTACACTTGGTCAAAATCATCTGACACAAGCCAAATTTCTAATAAATTGTTGAATATCTCATATAATTTATTGAATAACATATTAAAAGTGAAAAACAGAATTGTTGTATGATTATTCAAAGTATGGTTTCTACTGAATGGATATTGCTTTCATACCATCATAAAATCGAACCATAATAAGTTAAGGACTCTGTATAGCTAAGTGAATGTCATGTGTTCTGTACTCATCTTTACCATATTCTTTTCTTGTCCTCTTTCTATCTGGTCTATGATGACCCCAGCCTCTTTATTTGCAATTGTTCAAGTACAGAATCTTTATCACGTACATTTCTGATCATACTTGATTTTCTACAATACCAACTTCTAGATAAGTTGCCCATTACAATCAACTGTAATTTCCCTATTAAGAGGGAGCTCAGCTCTCCTCTGTCTCTGCCATGGTTTACATATTCAATAATATACTAATATGTGGGTGGAAAATAGAGGAGATATTCATCTGTTCTGTTTTTCATTAGTAAACACAATTGAATCTAAACTATAGAAGGTTCTACCATCTGCATAAATATATTAGATCTCTATAATATTCCCACAAATCAATACAGTGGTAGTTTAAAAACAGCCTCAATTTTTTTGCTGCCTCTCTCATTGACAGATGGATTCAAATGGCTCTTCCTTTGAATCTGGGCTGGCCTTAGTGACTTGCCTGACAAATACAATGTGTCAATTACAGCTATAAGATGATAAAGAGATTCTCAGTTATAGGAAACCTGGCAATTATCTCCTGGACTGTTATTGCTCTGGGGGAAAACAGCTCTCATGTAAAACTTCATCTGCCTTGAGACATCCATGCTGTGAGGAAGCCCAAGCTAGTCACATTGACAGGCTGAATGAAAAAAAGATACCCAGCAACCTCCAACTGTCCCAGTCTTCCCAGCTCAGGCTCAGATATGTGAGGTAAGGAGCTACCTTGGGCATTCCAAAAGGACAATCATGGAAAGGAACAGAGGAACCCAACCAAGAGTAGGAATCAAGGTCTCAGATATTTGGCCTCAATCAACTCTTCCCAGATAACTCCAGCCATTCAAGTCATGTCAGCTGAGGGCCCAGTCATCATGGAACATAAATGAGTCATCTCTTTTCGGCTTTGCACAAAATTCTGACCCATAAAACTATAAGCCTAATAAAAATGGTGGTTATTTATACCGCCAAATTTTAGTAACAGCTAGTAAACACCCTCCTTGGGGTTGTGTCATCATTTCATAGTGTTTATTAAAGAAGTTTACATTAGCACACATGGTGCTTGCCAGTGCTGTCTTTAGAAAGAAAATCTTGATTGGTAGGAAATTTGTTATAATTTAATAGTACTATATTCTCCAAAGAATAGTAGTCTTTCAATGATATAGAAGAAAGCAAAATGTATATCTTCTGTTTTCACAGGTATCTGAGATGTTATTATTGGGCAGTTCGAACTTTAATTACCATTGGTGGCCTTCCAGAACCACAAACTTTATTTGAAATTGTTTTTCAACTCTTGAATTTTTTTTCTGGAGTTTTTGTATTCTCCAGTTTAATTGGTCAGGTAAGTTAAGTATGACTCACAGGATATACAGTGCTGTCATTTTTGAAAGGCTAAACTTTATGGAGGAAAAATTAAAATCTGTTTGGTTCTTTTTTTTTTTAACTAACTTTCATCTATTTTAATGAGTTGAAGGAGGATATGATTAGGTCAACAGTGCTTTTCCATTTTTAAGCCATTAAATCTATCAAAAGACTTTTTAGCAAAGAGCATTAGTTTGAACTTTCAGAGAAAGCTATTTCTAAGTTAATTTTTTACTTGGACCATAATGAAAACCATGAAAATCTCTTTTATTTACTTAAACTTCAAATATTGTTATAACATTACTGGGTTAAAAATCAACTTCAGAGGTCATTTAAATCAGAGGTTACAAAATGCCATATAAAATAATAAGTTATTGTTTCATAAATATTTACTATAGCATCTCCTTATACATACTCTCAAAGGAGTCAGTCTAGTAAGAATTTAAATAAATTATTATATTGAAAGTTGTTGGAACTGAAGAAGGATAGAGCCCATATTTTTTTCTTTTTTTTTTTTTTTTTTTTTTTGAGACAGGGTCTTGCTCTGTCACCCAAGCTGGGGAGCAGTGACACAAACATGGCTCACTGCAGCCTTGACCTCCAGAGCTCAAGGGATCCACCTGCCCCTGCCTCCCAAGTAGCTGCAACTACAGTCACACCCCACCACTCCCAGCTAATTCTTTTTGTAGGGCAGGTGGATAGTGGCCTAAATGTATGAGCCCATGTGAGAGCCTGATACAGAAGGCAGTTGGGAGTATGGGCTCCAGATTACTTAGTTTACATATGGAAGGCACACTCTCAGAAGATCTGGCCACCATCTCTAGTAATTACCTAACCCTGGGAGAAACAACCAAGGCCTTCAGTCATCAAGGTCCCAGATATCAACATAACAAAACATGGAAAATAAAGCGGGTTAAATAAATATGGATACACAGGGATATGGCAGCTACAGCTTTAACATGTTAATGAAATACAGAGAGGAGTAGTAAAGGAAACTCTATGTTGAAAATATTTAGGTTTAGGAAGATGAACACCAAGAGCTAAAAATTTTAAGTATAAAATATCATTATCTTCATGGCTGGGGAGATTATATTAACAATGATTGAACTAGGAAGCTGGTTTGAGAGAAATTAAACTCAAATCCATTTGAATATAAATAACAAAAATCACATTATTTTATAATTTATTGTAAAATCAATGTGAGGTTATCATATCACAGTCAATAACTTCTATGTTTTGCAGATGAGAAAACTCCAGTTTAAAGAAATTAAGAGGCATCTCTGATTCATACATGTAGTTTGTATGGGCATATGGTAAAACCACATGTAATAACACTGATAATAACAAAATTTAGCATGCATTGAGCACTTACTACGTGCAAGGCAATTTTCACATCAAGACAAAAAAACTATTTCTAGCCCCAGTTCAATTATCTTGCTACTCAAAGTGTAATCTTCAGACTAGCAGCACCAGCAGCAGCACTTGAGGAATTCAGAATTCAGGCCCCACCTCAGACCTACTGAGTCAGAACTTGCATTTTTAACCAGATCATCAAGGGATTCATAGACACACAAATGTTTGCGAAGGGCTGCTTTCTACACCACACCACTTCTGCTTTTAAATTGGATTTGAGGTTCCAATAGGAACAAGAAGGAATATCAAGTCACTGAAAATGTGGTAATAGAGCTCCAGAGAAAGATTGAGGCTAGAGATACAGATGTGTGCCTCAAACTCTCATAGTGGATACAAGATGCTGAGTAGGGAAACAGATAGAAATACAAGTTTAAAAGCCTGTGACAAAAAAAAAAAATCTCCACTCATTCAAAATTCCCACATAGAGACTATAACCTGGAACTAATTGTCACCTTTTTTTTTGTTTTGTTTTAAGAGACAGGGTCTGACTCTGTTGCCCAGGCTAGAGTTTAGTAGCTTAATCATAGCTTACTGTAGCCTCAAAGTCCTAGGCTCAAGCAATCCTCTTACCTCACCCTCCCAGGCAGCTGGGACTACAGGTGTGTGCCACCACGCCTGGCTAATTCTTTTTTTCTTTTAATGTTTGTAGAAACAGAATCTCACAATGTTGCCCAGGCTGGTCTTGGGCTTCTGGCCTCAAGTGATTCTCCCACCTCATCTCCCAAAATGCTGAGATTACAGACATGAGCTACCTCACCCAGCCAGTCATCACATTTTAACCACAAAACAACTCACAGAAACTGACATATTTCTTCCTCTTATACTTTCATGTGCTTCCCTAGCCTGGAATCCGTCATAGAATATACACCCTCCTCAACTCCTTCAGCAAGAAAAGCCAACGTTGCCGAAGAACATCACATTACTGTGATGTCCATTCAAATTACTGTCACTACAAACTATTGGACCCTCAACAGCAATCAATCATGCTTTTAATAGTCCTTTCTTCCCAACTTAACACTCTGTTAAATCTCCCAACCCCACTCCTAACATACCAAGTCTCCCAGCCTTAGATAAGTAGGTAATGTAGGTTGTCAACAAAAAACAGCATAGAAAAGTGAGATCTAGGATTGAGGTTGTTGAGGAATATTTGGAAGAAAAATATAATAACAGTAAAGTTTAACATGTATCAAGCACTTACAATGTGCAAGGCGATTTTCACATCAAGACTAAAAACCTGTAAGAGACTCAAAAGATATATACAGTTAAACTAGCTACATAGCTCCTCAGCAGATAGTTTTAATATGTAGAATAATTTACTTACTCTAAAAATGGAAGCTGAGGAGGGCATCATGATTTTTTTTAAAGGCATTTGAACTAGACTTCAAAGAATGAGTCGTTTTTCCATAAGCAGAAAAGGCTCAACAGCTACTAAAATGAACGAGCAAAGTCTTAGGAGTGTGAAAGTGAGGCCCTGGTTTTCCTCGCTATTATAAACCCACAGTCAAAGCATATTTACAGCCACTTGCTTCCTTCTATGTGCTAGGAAGAGTGGAGCTATATATCTTTTTTGTGCTGAGCCCTTAAAGATCGGCTTTTAACCTAGAGTGGGTTTTTATGGGTGAGTTATAAACATCCAAGAACTAAAACCTGACAGTTTCTTAAGAATTGTCACGGCAGTAGATGATGCTTCAGTAATTTCAGCACATTTCAACTTCTGCTGAATACTATGCCTTAAGCATGATGAGATTTGATTTTTATCTGTCTAAACAACACAAAGGGAAGTACAGAGGTTGCAATTTCATGATGAATTGAGTCTATATAGCCAGCCACACTGGATAATCTATGAAGGATGCTTTCAAAGTAAGACTCACCAAAACGGACCAGCCATTCTGCCAGACAATTGCTCAACTTTTATTGCACATTCCTTGCATAAGCACAGCTGTGTAATTTTTTTCAATATATACTAACATTCCTGCAGTAAAATACAAGTTCAGAAAGAAAATGATGTGTCCTATGCATTGTATGACGGAATTCTTACTTGGTGTGTCCTGAAGGTCTTATTGCTGTCCTTATTGGGTCAGAGAGAGAATATGATTTGCCCAATATTTTATTGAAGTGGGTGGTATCAGGACCCAATATCAGTGTGTTTCAAATCAAGTAATCCACTGCCGAAAAGTCCGGGCAAGATTAAATAAAATAAAAATGAATGAACAAAATCAAGTAATCAGGGCATTAGAAGGGAGTATATCATGTAAAAAAACATGTAATTTGACTTTTATTAACTCTCCCAGTTCCTCTGTTGGGTGTTGAGTGACGATATTTGTGGTTTTAGATGAGAGATGTGATCGGGGCAGCTACAGCCAATCAGAACTACTTCCGCGCCTGCATGGATGATACTATTGCCTACATGAACAATTACTCCATTCCTAAACTTGTGCAAAAGCGAGTTCGGACTTGGTATGAATATACATGGGCCTCTCAACGAATGCTAGGTAAGCATGATGGATTACTGATTAAATTCCTGTAAAGCTTGTCATATAATGAAAATTCTGTAAGATAGCAGAGACTAATTAGATTTGAACAAAAGGTTGAAAAACAATTAAACGATCCTTAAAGCATTAGTTTAATATAATAGTTTTTTTCCTTAAATATAAAGCCATATCTTACTAGTTTTGAAAACCTTGGAAGAGAAAAAGGCTAAATTTTATTTAGCATCTACTGGATGCTGGGTATTACACACATTGTCTCATATAGTTACACATGCAAAAAACGAAGTAGGAAAATTAGGCATTGTCTATCCCTTTTAAAAGAAGAAAATAAAGGCTCCTAACTGGGAAATTTGGCCGAGGACACAGAGCCAGCACATGGTCTAACTAGAACTCAGACCTGCATCTCTTCTCTTCCTAACCATTGCTCTTACTGCAGTATCCCTCTCTTACCCAGAACACAGTACAGATGACCCTTGACAAGTGGGAGTTTAGGAGGCCAACCCTCACTCCACAGTCAGAAATCCACATGTAACTTTTGGGGCTGGGCATGGGGGCTCACTCCTGTAATCTCAGTATTTTGGGAAGCTGAGGCAAGGGGATTGCTTGAGATCAGGAGTTTGAGACCAGTCTGGCCAACATGGTGAAACTCTATCTCTACTAAAAATACAAAAATTAGCAGTGTGTTGTACACACCATTACATTCCAGCCTAGGCAACAGAGCCAGACTCTGTCTTAAAATAAAATAGAAAGAAGGAAATTCACATATACCTTTTGAATCCCCCAAAACTGAACTACTAAAGCCTACTATTGACTGGAAGCCTTACTGATAACATACACAGTTGATTAACACATATTTTATATGTTATCTGTATTATATACCATATTCTTACAATAAACTGGAGAAAAGAAAATGTTATTAAGAAAATTATAAGGAAAAGAACTATATTTACTAGTAATTAAGTGAAAGTAGATCATCACAAAGTCTTCATCCTCCTCATCTTCACTGTCAAGTAGGCTGAGGAGAAAAAGGAGTTGGCTTTGCTCTCAGGTGTAGCAGAGGTGAAAGAGAATCCTTGTTTAAGTGGACCTGTGCAGTTCACACTCATGTTGCTCAAGGGTCAACTGTACCAACAGAAAGCAGCAACTTTGCAAGCCACTCCCATCCCACCTCAGGGCACACAGTTGCTTCCATGAGATGCTAAATAATTAATGGTGTCTTCAACTACACCACTCTACTACTGCAGTTTAAAATAACTGTTACTGAGGGACATAACATAAGTTCAAGATAACGCCCTCCTACTCGAAAATAATCAAACTCAACTTTTAGTTTGTTCTTACCATATGAAAATAGGAATTAGTACCACTAAGAAGCCAAAAATGCCCCAGAGTGCAAATTACAATGACATTCTCAAAGCACAAAGGTTCCTAAGAGCAGAAAGAAACCACTGGCTATTTTAGTAGGATCTTTTCTTCACCTTTCTGACACTCATAAGAGACTCCAGCCTCGTGTTTAGAACCTCTTCCTGAATGACCAAAAGAACACGCCTCCCTCTAGAACATCTGCAGCTACTTGAGGGCATCTGAAGTAGGCAGGAAGAGCCACAAAGGGAGTGGTGCCAGGCTTCTTTTCTCATACCCCTTGGTGGGCTAATGATTCAACTCCTTGGCTTAGGAGGTAACTAGAGACAAGCAGCTCTTGGAAACAATAAACTCTATTCATATATGAAGTATGTTCACATTTAGAGTCAATATTTGAATCAAAATAGGGATGTCATACCACAATTTTTTTCTACATAATAAAAGAAAACATCAAAAAATAATCAACTCAGAAACCCAGGGCATTCTAAACACCAAGAATGGGGAATTTTCTGGAGAGAAACAAACAGACCCTGAGCCTATCATAGGGTGGGCTGAGAGAGAGGATCAGGAAAAACGAGTGGGTACTAGGCTTAATACCTGGGTGATGAAATAATCTGTACAACAGACCCCCACAGCATGAACTTACCTTTGTAACAAACTTGCACATGGACCCCAGAACTTAAAATACAAGGTTTTAAAAAAGGCGGGGGAAAAATAGGCAATTTTGTTTATGGAATATTTTATCAGCCTGAAAGCCCATCACTTAATTCACATGTAGAAAAATCTGTAATATATTCACATCCTTCATTGAGTTAATAAGCAAGTAAATAACGATAATTTGAATTTACTCTCTTAGCACATTTCTTCTTTAGATTCCATCCCAGCTGAACCACCTACTAATTATGCACAATGGAGCAAGTCACTTACAGCTTCTCGGGGCTTCAGTTCTTTGTGTTTTTCTTTTTTCTGCAAAATAGGAAAGAGAACACTTACCCTTAGGGTTGTCACAAGGGTCAAATAAGATAATGGCTATGACAGAGCTCTGTAAGCTCTCCAGTGCCACATGGTGCTCATTATTATTTGCCATCCCTTGAATGCTAAGGCTGGAATCAATAGAATCAGAAAACAAGAGCTAGATCCTTCGCCCATGCTAACTTGTTCACTAGCCTTTGTGCTGTGATCATTACATTTCATATCTAAAGTTTCAGAAAGCTTAACGTTCTGGAATTATTCTGTATGTCATCCCGAGTTAAAAATACTTCTTTTCTTGCATAAGCATAATAGTGTTATTGTAATAGGTATGGAGGTGCAACAGAAGTAATGAAAATCTAGAATCTGATGCATCTATGTATAAAAAGTGTTTGCATTTCATTTCCTTTGTTTTAAAATTTTTTCTACTTGTACCTTGGTGACTTATTTTATTAATAATTCTGCATCGGGGTTTGATGTGTTTATCTGCACAAAGATGAGTCCGATTTGCTTAAGACCCTGCCAACTACAGTCCAGTTAGCCCTCGCCATTGATGTGAACTACAGCATCATCAGCAAAGTTGACTTGTTCAAGGCAAGTGCTTTTACAATTCATAGAAAGACACTGTATCTATTTCTCAGTGACATCTAAGCTCTTGATTTAATACGGCATTTATGGGGTTTTTGCCTTATGTTTTAACAAAGTCAAAATAACCTAGAGAATTTATGTGGAATTAAGGAGTCAAATAAATTACAGGTCTCTCTTCAGCAGATGACTTATTCTTTAGAAGCCTCTCTCTTCTAATTGGTGTCAAAAAAGAAGAGTTCTTCAGGCTCTTCTTGCATTAATTTAAATATAATGTAAATTATATGGCTCTATATCTTTGCTAGTACATGTATCACCAACCATCTATAAATGTGCCTGGGCAATACACAACAAATCAGCCTCCAGATTAGCTCTGTAATGCCCTGACAATCAGAGAATTATTCCTAATCATGTCTTCTATTACAAATACTTTAGATTTAGGCTCTTAAAATGCTCAAATTTTAGTTTAGAAGATTTTTGTTTCTAAAAAAAAGTATAACAAAGAATTTTTTAACTTTTGAGTATTTAAGTATTACTACTCTTTTTAAGTATTACTACTCTTTTTCTGCATTATATCACATATAAACTTTTCCTTTTTTTTTTTTTTTTTTAGACGGAGTTTCGCTCCTGTTGCCCAGGCTAGAGTGCAATGGAGCAATCTCTGCCCACCGCAACCTCCACCTCCCAGGTTCAAGTGATTCTCCTGCCTCAGCTTCCCAAGTAGCTGGGATTACAGGCTTGTGCCACCATGCACAGCTAATTTTGTATTTTTTAGTAGAGACAGGGTTTCTCCATGTTGGTCAGGCTGGTCTCGAACTCCCGACCCCAAGTGATCCCCCACCTCAACCTCCCAAAATGCTGGGATTATAGGCCTGAGCCATTGTGCCCAGCCATATATCACACATAAATTTTTCTCAACTAATATTTCCTTCTGTGTATAGCATTCACTGACTCATCCATTCAATTAATTCATTCAGCAGGTATTTGTGAAGTTCCCACCATGTTCCAGGCACCATTTTAGCCACTGTGAATGTAACAGTTGAAAACAAATACTCATACAAATGTAGCTTAAATTCCAGAAGAAGAGAATGAAAAATAAACCTAACGTGTGGAGGCATTAATGCCATGAGCAAAGTTAAGCAAGTTGTATGGGCTATTCTCGCATTGCTATAAAAAAATACCTGAGCCAGGTAATTCATAAGGAAAATACGTTTATTTGGTCATCATTCTGCAGGCTGTACAGGAAGTGTGGCGGCATCTGCGTCTGGGGAAGCCTCAGGGAGTTTTCACTCATGGCAAAGGGCAAAGTAGGAGCAGGACCAAGGTGGGCGGGGTCAGTGCCACATACTTTTAAACAGCCAGATATGAGAACTCACTCACTATGATGAGGACAGTACCAAAGGGGATGGTGCCAAACCACTCAAGGGAAATCCACCCCTGAGACTTAATTACCTCCCACGAGGTCCCACGTCCAACACTGGGGATTGCAACAAAATATTTGGTGGGGACACATATCCAAACCATGTCATAGTTTAAGGAGGATGAGGGTGGTACTGGTCAGGAAAGACCTCTCTGATTAAATGCATTTGAGCACTTAAGAAGAGGGCTGCAAGAAGTAAGAGAGCAAGCTATGCAGATACTGGGAGAGGAGAGAGAGGAATGAGGACAGGAGGGAATATTATGGGAGGATGGATAACATGATGTGCTGAGCTGGAAACACACTGCAAGGAAGCCAGAGTGACTGGAGCAAAGGCAGAGTGCTGGAAAGCAAGAGCAATCAGAGAAGAGTGAAAAAAAAGGGAGGCTGAGGCAGGCAGCAGTTAATGGAGGGCCTTGGAGGATCTATAGACTTTTTATTTATTTATTTAGAGACAGGGTCTTGCTCTGTTGTCCAGGCTGGAGTACAGTGGCACAATCTCTCAGCCCACTGCAACCTCTGCCTCCCGGGTCCAAGTTATTCTCCTGCCTCAGTCTCCCAAGTAGATGGGATTACAAGCATGCACCATCACAGCCAGCTAATTTTTGTATTTTTAGTAGAGATGGGGTTTCCTAATGCTAGCCAGGGTGGTGTCAAATTTCCGACTTCAAGCTATCTGCCTGCCTCAGCCTCCCAAAGTGCTGGAATTACAGGCATGAGCCACTGAGCCCAGTCATCTATGGACTTTAGATTATACTCTGAGTTAAAAAACACTAAGGCTCTTGAGCAGAAAATGACCTATTCAAGACCAGTTTGAACAGGATCTGTCCTACTGTGTGAAGAAAAGGCCTTAGGAAGCAAATGTGGAAGGCAGGGAGGCCAAATGGAAGTTATCACAACCATGTGTAGAAGAGATGATAGTGACCAGACCCAGGGTTATTGAAGCAGAGTTTTTGAGAAGTGACCAGTTATTGGATGTATTCAAACCAAAAAAGCCCTGTTTTTCCTGTTTGATTATATGAAGAGGGTAAGAGACAGAAAGGGACCAAAGATGACTCCAGGGATTTAGGCCTGAGGAAGAAGCACAAAGATATCATTTGCAAGTTGAGTGGGCTGGAAACCACTCTGTTTTTGGATGTTGCTATCACTTGAATAATGATGTCCGCTCCAAAAATCTTATGGCAACTCAATCCCTAATGCAACAGCATGAAGACATATGGCCTTTTGGGAAGTGATTGAGTCTTGAGGGTTCCACCCTCATGATTGGGTTTAGTATCATTATAAAAGGTCTCAGGGTGAAGGAAGGACTCTCTTGCCCTTCTGTTCTTCCACTCTGTAAGGACACAGTGCTCCTCCCATCTGGAGGGTGCAGCAACTAGGCACCATCTTGGAAGGAAAAGCAGCCCTCACCAGACACCAGACCTGCTAACGCCTTGCTCTTGAACTTCACAACCTTTAGAACTGTGAGAAATAAATTCCCATTATTTATAAATTACCCAGTCTGTCATGTTCTTTTATTATCAGCACAAAAACAGATGTGACTATTAGATTCTAGTTGAAAATTTCATGTAGGCAGTTTGGTTTATAAATCTGAGTTCAGGGGAGAGAACTGAGCCAGAGCAATACATATGGACCTGTCAGCATGTTGGTGTATTTCAAGCCAAGGGACTCAATGTGATCACTTAAGATGTAAGTATAGACAGACAAATAAATGTAATCCAGACAGAAGGATATGTCTTCAAAATATTGACTCAGTAATATTAGAAACAAGATGAAGAAGCAGAAGCTGTGTGGTAGAATGTGTAGGCACAGTCACCTCCAGCATTAGGTTAACCCATGACTCTGTAAGTTATTAGAGTTAAGTCAGTATTCTAGGACTCTTTTCTTAACTATGTCCTGTGCTAGATTTCCGTCAATATTTTGATGATCATATAAAAGATGTGATTTTCAAATTGGCAGATAATACAAAGGAAGAAGGAATAGACTAAAATATGTTAATTACAACATTTAAAATTACTGAATATTTTGAAACGACAAGCAAAGCCAAAAAGATTAACTTCAACAAGCATAAAAGTAAAATTCTAAACTTAGGTCCAAAATGAAAATATACAGGCCGGGTGCCATGGCTTGTGCCAGTAATCCCAGCACTTTGGGAGGTGGAGGCAGAATGATAGGTCGAGTCCAGGTGCTCAAGACCAACCTGGACAACTTAGCAAGACTCCATCTCTTAAAAAAAAAAATAGCTGAATGTGGTGGTACACACCTGTTATCCCAGATACTTGGGAGGCTGAGGCAGAAAGATTCCTTGAGACCAGGAATTTCAGGAATTTGAGGCTACGGTGAGCCAGGATGGCACCACCATACCCAGCCTTGGTGACAGAGCAAGATCCTGACTCAAATATACATATATACTCAAATATATATATATATATACACATTTATATATATGGCAAGAGAGAGAGAGAGAGAGCTACATCCATATAACAAATGCAAAAGTGCAATAGTTTAGAACACTTCTTTTTAGACAGGAGTTTTACTTGACCTCCAACTCCACATCAGTCAGTAGAATTGTATATGGGATTCCCCTACATTTTAACATAATATCAGTTTTCTTAATTATTGAAACTACGTTTGGATTAACATATCAAATTTCAAATAACCAGTTTAAGAAGGATTTTAACAAACTAGAATATATTCTGGCTAAGGGGTTAAGAGGAGGGGTTGAATTGTGGACCAAGAATAGTAAAAGAGTAGTCTTATAAAATTATTCTGTGATGGTAGAAATCAGATTAATGATTGCTGCTGGTGGTGAATGGAGATGAGCAGATTGATTAGTAAGAAGCATAAAGGAACTTTGTGGGGTGATGTAAATATTTTTTTGTCTTGCCAGGGAAGGTACGTAAGTGTATGCATTTATCAAAATTGATCTAACCGTCCCTTAAGATCAGTATATTTCATTTTATGTAAAGTATTGCTCCATTTTCAAAAAAGAAGAAGAAGAAGAAGAATGGCCCCCAAAGAAAATGTTTAGATGCTGAGAATATTTGGTTATGAGAAAAATAAATAAATTCAAGGGCAGTAGAAGTTTCATATACTAAAGTCTGTTATATGAACAAGGAATGAGACTTGCTCTACCTTGTTCTGCAACTGCAAACTCCATTTCTAAGTTGCAGACACCTCAACTGCATATGAATGTATTTGTTGTATACACACACACACACATACCATGAAATACAATTCCCTTAAAATGGAACAAAGTAATGGCATTTGAAGCCACTTTGAAGGAGTTGAAGACCATTATTTTAAGTGAAGTAACTCAGGAATAGAAAACTAAATATCGTATCTTTTCATTTATAAGTGGGAGCTAAGCTATGAGGATGCAGGGGCATGAGAATAATATAATGGACTTAGAGGAGCCAGGGGAAAGTGTGGGAACAGGAGAAGGATAAAAGACTACACAATGGGTATGGTGTACACTGCTTGGGTGACAGGTGTACCAAAACCTCAGAAATAACCACAAAAAAACTCATCTATGTAATCAAAAACTACCTGTTCCCCCAAAACTATTGAAATTAAAATTAAAAATTAAACA